ATATAAAATATGTATTAGTTTATACATAGTTCTGTTTTTCTACTATACTATCTTTACCTTTTGTTTCAGTACAGATATGACATGTATATTTTCAGCTTTTCTTATCACCACATTGCACAAAACTGAGAATATTATTACAAATTTTTCAACACAATTAAGTATATTCCAGCTTTCCTTAATGAAATTATCTTTAAACTTAAGACAGGTTTTTGACAACTTTTTGATCTCCTGTAGTGTTCATGTCTATACTATTTTTTCCTTTTCCTTAAGACAGTCATCACCCAGCCTCTATTACAAAGCATAAGTTCTCTGGGTCCCATGGTACACATAGCATGGACATTAACAATCCTTTATTTTTCAGTGCCAGTTAAATCACAAACATCCAATACATATGTCAGTATTCCACAGCTCTCAAATAGACACCCATGGCAATGTATTCTGCACACATTCATTCAAATGACTTGTCTTTACATGGGAAGCATACAGTGTTTTGTAGTCAATGAAGAGTTTGGACCAGGATTTAACTCTTCATTTCCTTTACATGGTCTGAAATTACAGGAAAGTATTGCAGACACAAATTATAGCTAGAAAATGCACACTGAAATTAGCTCCATTATACTCTTATTTGTTCAGATAGTTTATACACACGAAGTGTATAAATTGTGATCAATAACTAGTGAAATACACATTAATTTTCATTATGTGTAGCTATCTACTAAAATTTGTGATCACACTCCTTCCTTCCTTCCAGAGATCGTTCTCTTTAGGGAAAGTTTTCTGAATGTTGAATATGGACAGTCATATATTGTGTCTATCAGCAGTTGTAATCCCCTATTTTAAGTACACTACCTGTGCACAGCAATAACTGAAGTGAAGAGTCTGGGACTTCCAGGAACAACATTGGTAAATATGAACTCAAAGCGAGTATTGTTACATTTAGTCAATATATACAGAGCTTCTGTCTGCCCTCGTAATTTCTGTAAGGAAAAAACAAAATTTTACATTTTGGCAATATAGTAGCTTGATTGTACAAATAATAAATAATCTTCAGATGTTGTGTAAGTTATTGTTTTAGACAGTGTTTATGGGTTTATGGAGGTGTAACCCTGATTCTACCATTAATCTACTGCTGTCTTCAACTGAACTTATTTTTCTTTTTGACCAACTAGCAGTTCCATCAACAGTAAAACTAATGCAGCCTGCCTGCTCTACATTTGCAGTATCATGACTGAAACTGTATTTTTGGTTCTGTTATCATATGGTTGCCCAGGAAATCTACATCATCTTCCTGCTAGTTCTTTGTGGCAGGTCAAACAAACAGCTTCACAGTTGCATGCAATTCCATTCAGATTATGTATTTGAGAGCTCTCCACTTTTAAAAAAACCCTTTCGTTACTATTCTTTACTGTTCTTGCAAGTAAACTTTCAGATTACTGTTGATACAGTGCAGTAAACATAAGCAACTAGTTACAGCTTCTTTTATTATTTTTAAAAGTATTTTTTGGAACTTACTGAGTTGGCAGTTCTTGTAGTTATATTTATAACGCAGTTGTAACCGACAGCTTAAAAGTCAAGGGAGAAAAAAACATTGTTTTGAGAACAAGAAAAATAACAGTCAAAATTACAAAGTATATTACTGAATTTTTTAGTGCAGTTTTGGATGCTATGTGTGAGAATTACACTTTGTGGTTAATACTCTGGGTCCTCATCACAACCCTGAAGACTAATTTAAGCTATAAAGGATCTTGGAAGGTGCTTTGGTCAAGTGCTCTTCTCAAATCAGGACCAATTCTGGCTGCTCAGTGTACTATCCAATCCAAGAAATATTTCCACAGAAGGGGATTGCACAGTGAACACTGAAAATAATTTGTGCACAAAGGAACTGCTAATCCTGCCCCTGTTTCAGCACTTTAAATTAAATATGAGCAAAACTCTCAATGCTCGTACAGTTTTAACTCATACAGTTAAAATGAGAAACTTATCCAGAGTTTACAATACTAAAACTGGAAAGGAAAGTACTTGAGGGGAATAAATAGAGAAATGCAGAATGTGAATAAGCAGGTGGCAACAAGAGCTACAAGTAAAGCAATGTATGATGAAGCTCAAATGTTTTTTTCTAAAAAACCACATGAATCCCACATCGGCCAAATGAAAAACATGTCTGAAGAACTCTTCAACTTCTTTTCTGAGAAATTAACATAGAATATTGAGTATTACTATTTTGCTATGAATTACCATCTCAGTTCCTATATTATAAAGAAATTCATTAGTAACAGTTTATTTCAGACTTCCCGGAGCAACACAGCTACACTTCAGCATTCTGTACTGAAATCAATACTTGGTGAAGGAACAGCAAGGCACCACAGAGGAAACAGAAGGTAATACTTACAGAGGTTGACTCTGGGCAATGACAGTGAGCGCCAAATGATCCGCAAATTTGTCACAAGCAGCTTGCCTGGAGATAAAGAGCATAGCTATTTTTAATCTAAATAAATTCCATTAAATAAAATGTTCTGAAACAACAGGATATTCCTTCTCCTTGATGGGAAAAAGAAGAAAGCACAGGACACTCCACCAGAAAAATCACTAAACACTTAAATGCTTAAAATTATAGCAGAGATAATCCAACAAGGAACAAATTAAACAATTTCGAATATATACCAGCATTCCTCAAAATCAAACCAAGAGCAGTTATTGATTCCAATCCAGATGCTTATAGCAAAAATGTAGACACAAGTAGCGCAGAACTGCTCTGGGGAGGAGAAGGGGAAGGCAGTGAGTTAACTGTCACAGCAGTGTTCATGAAAAACCTCACCCCTTTGCCATATGCAAATTTATTCCATTCTGGACCCTGGAGAGCAGCACATCCAGCCCCCCTGAAGGGTCATCTCAGCATGCTGGCAGCTTCAGCCCCTGCCCACTATGTATTCCTTACTTCAGTAAGTTAATTCCTTACTTCAGATTCAGTTAAAAACAGGGTGGGACGGGCTAAGCATTAAAGAGGATTACAGCAGAACAGCACTGCACTGTTTATAAATGGATTGTTCCTACAAGGCTTTCAATTCTAAGCAAATTCTCAGACAAGAATCACCTTCCTACAACTTTAAAAAAACATTCCAAGGCAGATCTGAGAAATAGGCAGGATCTCTTCTGTGCAACAGAGCACTGATACAGAGTTCAATGGGAACCTGCCAGGGCTTTCATAAAGCTACACAGGTTAAAGAGCAGAAAGTTTACAATTTGCCTGACTATGCAGTTACCTCTGTCTCCGTTGTTTCCTTTGGTATCTTCAACAGACTCTAAGCAGTCTATAAGGACCTCTCCAGGTCTCATTTTCATTTGTCTAAAAAAAAGGAAAAATAACTTTTCTTCCAAAAATAAGGCCATTTTTATTTCTCTGTTTTGCTTTCCTCTATTTTCTGCTCAGTACATCATGCAATGAAAAATCCACACATGCACACAAATCAACTTTACATATCTGAAATTATCACTACATTCACAGATGAAAAATATGAATATCTTCATGATTACCTTATAACTGTAAACAAATAAATAATTATGTAGCAAGTGTGACCATGAAAACTATACCCCAAAATAAGGACAAAGTGTGTGGAAATGGAGGAAAAAGCAAAAAAAACCCCACTTGCATTCATGTAACTTTTAGCGGACTGAGTTTATTGCCTCTTGATGTAGATTCGGGTCATAAGGAGTGGAGCTAGGCTCAGGAAAGAAGAGATTCCAGCAAAAGAAATATCAGATGTATAAGGATATGTGAAATGCTCTGCTAAATTTTCCACAAAGGGTGTGGTTTGGCTTTTTGTTTGTTTGGCTTTTGGCTTTTTTTGTGAGGTCTTCTATTTACTTGTTTGTATTATTATTTTGCTTTATTTAACTGATCTAACCACTTAGTTATGTAACAACCAATGAAGTGTGATTTTTTGCTGTACTTTAGTCGTATTGTCAAAAGCGGCCAAAACTCTCCATGTATGGCATGACAGAAACAAAATGTATTATTAAGACACGACTTAGACACGACTTTGGTGAAATACTGCCCAGCCGCCGCCCCGTTTGCCAAGCCCGGCTAACCATGAGTGCCACCGTCCCCGCAGACACACGCCTTCAGCTTGTTTGTACTTCTCAGTGCTAGAAAAGCTCAGCTGGGAAAAGTATACCCCCTTCCCTCAGTCCTCCAGTGTCCAATCTGTTGTTTTGTTTTATTTTCTTTTTATAGATTGGAAACGGTGCGTGGACCCCACCCAGCAAGCACGCACTGACCACCCTGCCCTGCCCCGTCCCGTCCCGCCCGGCCAGGTGAAGCCGCCGTTGCTCCGCGGCCGCCACACCGGGGCGTTCCCGGCACACGCTGGGCGCTCCCGCCGTGCACCGCGCCCACACCAGCGGTCGGTCTCGGCCGCGGAGGCAGCGCTCAGCCAGCCGCCTGTCGGTGCCGGGCGGGCCCGAGAGCGGCGCTGTGAGGGCAGGGCAGGGCCGGGACACGGACACTCACTGCGGGGAGATGTCGAAGCGGACATCCCTGTCCTCCCACAGCACGTCCAGCACCCCGCTCATGGCCGCCACCCACCCCGACGAGTCCCCGCGCCGCCCTGGCAACGGCGTGGGGGGGAGGGTGGGTGGAGTCTCGCGCCCCCGCGGCGCCCGGGATTGGCTGCGGCGCCGCACGCGGGGAGCGCGCGCGCACTCGCGCCCGCCCTGGTTCCTCCCTCGGCTCGGCTGAGGGGCTCAAACGCAAAACCTGAGGGGCCCTGGCGTTCCCGGTAGTGCAGCCTTGAGCTCTGCGGATCTGTGGGGCTGAGTGTTTGTTTGGTGGTTTTGGGTTTATTTTAAAATAGATGAGGTGTGTCATTTTTAATCTGGAATGACTTGTAAACTGTATCCAAATTTTAATTGCAGTGCCCTGCCACTTTAAAATTAAAAAAGACCCCAAGAAACTGCAAATAAGATTCATAAGGAAAAAAACTTGTCCTGTGGTACTTCTTCCCCTAAAGCTTGTCCCTGGGTTGGCGAGGAGCCCGTTGCACCCATTCGGAGATGGACACCAGCTGGATGAAATACAGCAGCGGGCGGGAAATGCCCCGAGCTCCCTGTGGGCCCGTGACGAGAGGGGCTGAGGGTTCCGAGAACACAAAGGGGGAGGGTGTTTTAGTTGAGGCCAAACTCCGCTTTTTGTTGGTATGCTTGACGTTACCATTTGCTCAGGGAAAAAAAAAACCACGCAAATCCAACTAAAATGATCAACGAGTGCATAATCTGAGATGTTTGGCCTTGTTAAGGGCTGTGGCAGAAATCCGGTTGTGTTACGAGAAGCACACGACACAGTGAATGTCATTTAGCTGTGATGTAAGTTTTTAGTCCTGTAAATGTACCATAATCCATTTTCTGTCCTGGCAGTAAAACGAAAAATGTTTTATTAGAAATAAGCTTTAAAGTATATTAAATAACAGGAAATTCAACATATATAAGCAGATATAAATGTAAAAAGTAATTTTACAGTGGCAGACAATAAACTGTGCTGTTTAATGTTTTAAACATAAGTTTAAATAGTTAGGAAGATGAAAATATTAAAATACATTTAAAAATTAGACTTGGCTTTCAGAAGAGAAACACATTGGAAGGACCATTTTAGACATGAACTAACCCAACACAGTAATGCCAGTTACTGGTATATTCACTCACAGAAATCTGTCAATGTGTTTTAACTGTAATTGTCATGCATCTTGGCTAGCTCATAAAAACTGAGGAGAGTTTACTGAAAAAAAAAAGATGAAATGTACCTGTGATGTGCTTAGGGAAGATGGGTAACTGAACCACCTCCCTGTCTTGGGACCCAGAGAGCATGTAGACCACAAGTTGATGCATTTGTTGTATTTATCTGTATTAAGTAGTACTCTGCATGTCATTTGGAAGTTGATGTTTTGTGCTTTAGATAGTAAAATACTATTTGTGAGAATAGTTTCATTTAAAAGAAGTGAAGCTTTCATTGCAGAATCCATGCCAAATATTAGATTTCCATAACAAAGGGAAAAAGACTTAGATAATGACCATAATGACCAAGGATTGGTTTCCAAAGCAATATATGTAGTTTAAAATAAGATCTAGTTAATGATTGTGCAATGCTAGTATTTAAACCTCTAGGTAAAGGAAGGGCAACTGCTATGACAAATGCTACACTGGTCTAACTATAACTGAGTAAAAAAGGAAATTTTGTACTCTTGATACTGTTGAAAATTTGCTATTTTGTTATAATCCCTATGCCATAGAATAAATACTAAAAATATTTAAGTATGCTTGCATAGGTAGACTTTTTTTAGTTAGTGGGCATGTGACTTCATAATGTTAGCATTCTATAAATTACTTGGTTTGATTTTAGATACCACGCTGGATACTTGATAAAAAAGCCAAACAATCAATAGCTTCAACCTCATCATTTTTTATTGTAGAGACTAATTGCTACCTCCAGAAAAAACTACGCAAGCCTGTGTGCATTCCTGCTCAGACTCAAAGCGGTTGGCATTTCCATGGCAGCCCCCATACCAAAACTGAGCACAGGCATTGGCTTGTGTGTCATAGTACCATCTGATCGTGTAAGCACGGCACGGCCCTTGCTCCAGCCTCAGCTTGCAGCGCAGGCCCACAGGACTTTCTAAAATGAAATAAAAGAGGAATAGAAACCATTCAGTTTGCAAAAGTCAATTATATTCCATAGATTTTACCTTTAAAACTCTTACTTTGGTTTTTGTTTTTTTTCCTGCTAGTCTTACACAATAGTTTAAGATTCGCTTTTAGTTCTAAAGATGTTAATATTGAAGACAAGTTATAAGCGCATCTTGGTAGTCAAATAAGCTGATCCTTTACTGGCATGATTCTAGTAATTCCAGAAATAAAAGTATTATGGCTCCACATACAAAAAGAACAAACCATATGAATATGATAATTTTAAAATGTATTTTTTTGAAATCTGACTACATTCAACCAGTCTTGTGAGCAAACTGAAATTTTAGCCTAAGAGCTCTAAGCTAGTTGCATCTGCTGCATCCTTCTGTATTACATTAATTTTCCTTCTGGTGTGGGAGAAGGGACATTAAATACTCAGAAGAATATAAAACTCTTGTCTTGCTTTTGTGTGATATTTGTGCTACTTATCCAGTAAAATGGTAGGAATCATGTACATAAGTTTTGAATTTAAAACTCCTACAAATATGGGTTAGAGGACTGTGACATACTAATTTAGTCTCACTCACCTTAATAACATCATGAGATAGAAAACAGTTTTCTGTGAAGTTTAATGTTGTGACTAATATTCAGTCTTTTGCAACTGGTGTCTTATCACTTTTTTGGAAAACAACATTAGTGCCAAAGACTGAATAAGTCATGTCACTGTTCCCAGGAAACATTGGGAACATATTTCTATCGCTCTCTTCTGTTGCTCCATCAAAATACACTATTACTGAAACTGAAAATGCCCCAAATGATGAACAAAATACATTTGGACATTTCATATAAAAAGAATCAATCCTTTAAGTACTCAGCTAATTATTATACTTAAAATGACTAAACACTGTTTTTTTCCTATTGCTCCTCTGAAAGAGAAAACCATTCTTTCTGTCCAATTCTGAAATCATTGTCTTTGCCTTTAATGAAGTCTCCCTCTGTGTAGACTGCCCCTCCTTGGCTGACAAATGACCTGCTGACTGGCCCACCCTCAGTGAGCATTATGTTCTCCTTTTGATGCCCTTAGGAGCTCCCTCTCAGGTTGTAGACAGCCTTGCTTTTGCTTTAAGTGGAGCAGTGGGATCCAGAACTTGGAAAGACAAGAACTGCAACTAGATCTGTTATAAAATCCTGAAGCAACTTCTCTTCTACATCACGGACTCACAAAGTCTTTGGGGAATGGAACAAAATTACTCTGACTTAAAGCCTTATTAAAAGTTAGTAGCAGGCAAAGAGGTAACAAAATGAAAAGTGATCTGTTACCCACCAGGTCTTGGTGTGGGGCCTGCAGTTGAGAGAGATGATGTTATACCTTTATTGGATGGTGGTTGTTTAGGTGAAAATAATGGTAACACAGCTGCAGGTGAAAAGGATCAGAATGAGACATTGATTTTTCGTCAGCCCAAAATGAAAATGAAGAAATGAATGACAATAGAAATACCTCTGGTGTTTCCTGTCAGCAGGGTTGGCTGTTGTTCTTCATCTTGTTCCTCTTTGTAGGCGTCATAGACTACAGGAGGTACGTTGGTCTGAAATGAGCATTTGATTTTTTTTCTTTCCAGATACTGTGAAGTGTTCCAAAGTGAACAAGCCCTCCATGTGTTTTTCCTTTGCATTTACCCTGACTTCAGTGTTAAAAACCAGAATTTCAACTTCTCCTGGTTGGTTTACCAGGAAAGTTGGCATATCTAAATGTTGGATAAATATTTTTTTTTAGTTGAGCTTTATGGAAGTTTATTTATAGACTTAAAATTATAATCTACAATTGAGTTCAATTACTGTTCTTAGACTTAATTATAACAGTGTAATTGCTTTTAATATTGTTATGATTCACACTGTGGCACAAATATTACTGTATTAAACAAAGGAATCCTTGTAACAGTATCAGGAATAAGTTATAGCTATTAGTTAATTGCCTGCATGCAACATCAGAGCTCTTACTCAGAACAACCAGCTCTGAGCATACCAAGTTAAAGCACCTGTCCTGCAGAAAATTAGGGGAAATGGTATAAATTATGTTAGGTGGCACAGAAAGATAGATACTTTAAACTTCTGCTGAATTTTCATACCGGAGCTGATGGTTGAGGAAGATGGCCAAGACTCAGAGGACTTTCTGCTGTAGATACTCTGAGTGTCTGTGCTGAAAGTGATTGTCTGTTACCATTGTTCTTCTGAAGTATGTAGTGTAAAGAACTTGGAGATACTGACTGGAACGATCGCCCACTAATGCTTGCAGCATTTTCATTGTGGTTGTATACAAAGGTGCCATGTTCATCTTCACAAAATTGATTGACTAATTTGGACTCCAGAGCTGTTGAAAAAAAAATTAGAAAACATATCATAATGAGAAATTCAATGTATTCTTAAAATTTGGATTACTTATATATGTCGCTAATGTGCATGTAATCCAGAACTCCTTCAGATTGTTTACACACATCTAAGAAGATTATTCCAGATTCTTTGGAGTATGTTCTTTTTGGTCACAAATTTGCCAGCATGTAAGTCCTCTACATGGTAGAAAATACAGGGATCTTAGGTAAGGGTGTTCATCTAAGCTTTGTAATAACTACTATTTGTTAATGGGAAAATAATTGTCTACCTTGCTGCTGTGAATAACCACATGAAAACGGATTATTTCCCCAGGAAGTGAACAAGTAGCATTTATGACAATGGGTTTCATTCTGATTTACAGTCAGATTTTCAGTGTATGAGCACTTATTCATCTTAGAAAACTTGTTTAAGCAGCTGTTTTCCTGTACTGGGTGACTGACATTCCCCATTGGCACGTTGCCCCATAATGTGACACCACAAACAAAGGGGATCCGTGTGTCTAGATTCCTATTACTTTGCAGCATCAAAGCATACCCACAAAGGTAATGCTTCTCTCCCAGCCTGCCCCCTTGTGAGAAGCATCTGATGATATAAGGCAGAATAAAAGGTCACTGGACGCACCTGGGAGGGTGTTAAAGTCATCAATGAGATACATGTGCTCTCCATCTGGGTCTGAAGCAATCACATTCAGCTCCCGCACAAACTCAGCCTGGGTTGGATCTGAAGTATTTACGATTCCTATGGCGTACATTTCGATGTTTGCTGCGTGGGCCTCTCGAACAACAAGATCTAGTTTTACAGCTTCTCTCTTGTCTGTTTGGCCATCTGTTAGCACAATAGCCACTTTCCTCACCCCTGCTCGAGCACCAGAAAATCCTTCCTGGGTTGCTTTGCGGATGGCAGTTCCTGTGTAAGTGCCTTCTCCCATGTACTGCATTTTTCTAATTGCTCGCTTGACATCCTGGCGGGTTGGGTACTTGTTGAGCCCAAATTCTAGCCGAGCTTCTAAACTGTACAGCACAAGGCCAACTCTGGTAGCATTTCTGCCTACAGTTACTCTGTCTACTAAAGCAGTTACAAAGTCTTTGATAATCTCAAAATTTTCTGGTCCCACACTCTCAGAGCTGTCAATCACAAATACAAGCTCCATAGGAATTTCCTTACATTTAATATTGCAACCTACAAAGGAAAAATAAAAGAAACCCAGATCACAATGACTTGATTTGGCATGCTTTAGGAAAAGAGAAGAATGCAAATGTAATGAAAGAAATACAGAATTTGAACATAAAGATTTCCTGAGTCCTTACCACATATCTCTTTAATTAATTTAATGACATCTTCTCTCTGGATGTGAAAAAAATTAAATATTAAAATATTTTACAATTTGCCTCTTTTAAATGAGCTATAATTTTAACACTTACAAATATTTTGTTTATAATCAATATTTGTGTCCTACAGTGACGTAGAAAAATCTTACTGTTTAACTTCCAAACTTGGGAATGAGTTCCACGTGTTACAATAAACTATTTCATATGCATACAGGAATCAATAACTTGATAACACATTAACATCTCTATCTAAAACAATTAACTCCTGTTATTTTAAAAAATGTTTTGTGATTAATTGATTCTCATTTAAACTGAAAGGCATATATATTTTAGCATCTGCATAATATGATATCCCTTTTAAATGTTGTGGGAGCAGAGAAATAGACGCAACTTTAGGAAGCATTGGATTGCTTGTAGTGAGCTGACATATGCCAGAGCACCAGTACAGAATGGGAGTTGTCAGCCCTGATGTACCTGGCCCACAATTACCAAGCCTTCATCAGCACAAAACCCCAAAACTGCTGCCTTCAGAGCTGTCTGTCAGAGCAATGAGGGCTTCTGTGGCACCTGAACAAAGTGTTTCTCAGAGCAATCATTTGTTACATATTTTGAAGTGCATGACAGGACTCATCTGACATTGAGTCAATCTTTCAAATACAACCTTTTGCTACTGCTTCTCAGCTTTCATCATAACCTGTAGTAATATTTATATACTTACTGACATACTTTGCTGAATTTGACTCAAATGTGGTACAGGCTTAGCAGAAATATAAATAAGTTCCTAGCATGATAGACCTTGACAGGTTTGAAGATCTTTGCTCTTTATACTCCTAAATACTTGAAAAAAAACCTTCCTGCAGCAAGTTCACACCTGAGTGATCTAACACTAGCTATAAAAGAACATATAGCAGAAAAATACCTGAAGTCACCAGGAACTTTTGATTACATTTCAGCATAAAATAAATTAGAAAAAATCAGAAATCTTTGAGTTGGTTTCTTTCTATATTATTGCTGAGTCGGCTTCTAATCAGAAAACTCTTTCCAAAATAATTAAAAGGCCACATTTCATCTGATAGTGTTGTTTATATCTTGCTGTAATGAGATTTAAATAATGGAATTTGCTTACTGTTAGGCCTTGGTCTCCCTTTGGTCCCATCTTGCCCTGTAACAGTGATTGCTAATTAAGTTATTGCAATTAGATAGTAACATTGTAATTCAGAATACAACTTCATCAATACCGTTATTAGAATAATATTTTTCCAATAGAAAGTTAAACTAGAAAACGTGTGGTCCTGATGCACGTGCACGGCCTTGTGCATGTAGTACCTGCAGCCTCCTGAGGAGGTTTGTGAGAAGTGGATGACCTCAAGTGTCCCACTGGGTCACTGACTGTCAGTTGTCTCTCACTGCTGTCCTGGTTTTGGCTGGGATAGAGTTCACTTAGTCGCTGGTTAGTGCTGTTTTGGATTTACCATGGCAATCATGTTGATAACACTCTGTTGTTTTGGTTGTTGCTAAGTGGTGCTTACCCACAGTCAAGGACTTTTCAGTTTCCCATGCCCTGTCAGTGAGAAGCTGCACAAGGAGCTGGGGGAGCATGGCCAGGCCAAAGGGATATTCCACAGCATGGAGGGCACTCCCAGCACAGAAACTGGGGGAGTCAGCTGGGAGGGGCCCATGAGTGCTCAGGGGTGGGCTGGGCATCCATCACAGGGTGGGGAGCAGTCTTACTGGGCTTCACCTGGCTTTTTATGATTATGACTATGGTTATTATTATAGACTATTATTTTTATAGGTTCAGTTATTAGACTGGTTTATATCCATCCATGAGTCTTTGGCTTGTTAGGTGTTTTTTTTTACTTTTTTTTCTGATTTTCCTCCCCATCACACCAGTGTTGGGGGGTAGACGATCGAGTGGCTGTGTAGTATTTAATTGCTGGTTGAGTTCATTACAGCTGCCTTTAGGAAGAAACCACATCCATCTGGGCAGTGGGGTATTAATCAAGTAAGTGTCTTCTTTGTGCTTTTAAAGTTTTTAATAGTTTCAGTTTCTTAAATGTTTCAGATTATATGTAATTCAAGAGAAAGAAGAACACACAACCCAACTTTGTTTCTGAGTGGTTTACAAAAACATCTTCGATAAGCCTGAGTTACTCACAGGTTCTCCAGATAAACCAGGGTCACCCACATCACCTTTTTCTCCTTTTTTCCCCTTGTCACCTGTAGCTCCTCGATCTCCCTTTAAAACCATGGTGGTAAGCAGACAGAAATTGTAAGTCAGCTTTTGTTACACTTTTCAAATTTCTCTGTCATAGCCTTTGTTGAATGCACATTAAGGTTGTGACATAAGTGAGACATCTTTGTTAGAGATCATTTAAATAAATTGGGATTTTGTGAATTTCATTAATAACTTGTAGTATTGGCTAAGCATTTTTATGGAAAAAAATACATGAAGTGGTTTGAACAATGAAGCATCTCAAACAACTACATGCAGACTGAGGGGTTTTATGGGCTATTGCATGATGGAAATTATTATCTGTGCCTTAGAAAAATAAGAGAAATAGAAAAGAAATCTAAAGGTGTCTTTAGAATGAATAAAGGGAATATCACTCTGAGAAACCTTTTGGCCCAGAAAAGGTGTTTGGCATAGCAAACAGGTGTATCTTGGTTTGATTTTTAGTAGACTATAGGACTTAGTACAGCCTTTCTGAGCCATTGTGATCACATCTAAAAACTGATTCCAGCCCACTGTTCTCTTTTTCTTAAGATTGATTTAGTTAAAATATTTTGCATAGCAGATAGGTGAGAGAAAGTAATATGAAATCTAATATTTGTTTTAATAATAAAAGAATAATACAACTTCTAACGACAATATAACTTCTAACAATAACATAATCTTCTGGTGTCTGGGGCTCCTTTTACACAGAATTCACATGCCTTCAATGAGAACTGACTGTAAAAGATCATTTGGAGTGTGTTGGCTTCCATCTAGGGCATTATCTCACTATTATCTCTGATTTAGACATCATACCTTCTCTCCCAGAAGCCCATCTCCAGGGGGGCCTCGTGGTCCTGGCATTCCTTGAATGCCTTGTTCCCCCTAATGATAAAACAGGTAGTGATATTAACCCTTTGTAATCATTCATGACACTGTAATTTAAAATGTTCAAAGAGAAAGTTTTTTAAACTGCATTTTAACTAGGATCTTGAGGCACTTGAGACAATGTAGTGGCTAACTTATATTTCTTAAATACTTCAGTATAAAGATACACAATATTGAAAACACATATGATAATTATTGGATTTAATTTTAATTTGATTGCAATTTTTTTCCACTTTCCATCCTATTTTATACCTTCTCATTTTGCCTTTATTTCTATCTTTTGTGTCTGTCTCATCTGACTGATGCTTTGGGTAAAAGTGCATATTACAAGGCAGAATTAATAGTACTCACATTCAGGATGGAGGCTTTTTCTCTACTGAATAGAGTGGTAGTACACATAACTAATTCAGACTGTTTCTGTGGGCATGAGAGTTGAGGAAGAGGGAGTGGTATTTTTAATTTTGTAAAGGTATCTTTAACTGATAAAAGTTCATTCTTCTTTCCTCAACACACACATGCTCGGGCTAGTTTGCAGCAGCAGACAGAACATACTTTGCAGGTGCTCACATTATCCTTCTCATTTTCTAGCCTGAGGCTCTCTGCACATGAGAAACAATGTGAAATCTCCTTAACACCGTGATGGTCAGATTGGCCACTCAGCACAGGTTAAATATTGAAGACTCTGAGTCTTTTTACCTTAGTTCCTTGAATGCCTTCACCAGGAGGTCCCAGAGAGCCAGGTGGCCCTGGGCGTCCTATGCTTCCCTAGAGGATGTTCATAATAAATACACAAAAATTTGTTATACCACTGTGTAATTTCTTGTCCTTCCTCTACCCTCAAACATGTCTTTTTATAAGTAGTGGGAATCAGGCTGGTTTGCTCTAGCTGAGAAATACTCTTTTTGGCCTTTGTCAGATTTTAATAATCCAGTTTATACTTTGAAGGAGTCACTTGGCTTAATACTTAGTGAACATGAATCACCTTGCTGTTGGAGATATATGCTGCATTGAAGGATGGATTTTATTGGTGCCACATGGGGGACTCAATTAAAATTTAGGAGAAGATTATTATTGGTTTTTTTTATTTTTTACCACCATTACACAGCAAGACCTATACATACACATACTAATGTGGCATTGCAAAGAAACACTTGTTGCTAATTTATAAGCTAGTTTTCAATAGAACTCTAGGAAAAATGTTCCCATTCCGTGTTACTCACAGGAAGCAATCAAAACCCACACAGTACATATTAATTTTATGTCTGTACTGCTATTCTAGTAACCCTGCATGAAATCCTCAATTTCCTCATTTGTGAGGGTCTCATGGACATGCTGTCTCTTGGTACTAGTGCTGCCTGAGAAGGTGCTTTGCTTCACCACTGCTTTTCTCTGGACACTGCCTTCCTGCCAATGGCAACTGGATCTCAGGGACCTGTAAGTCACAGTGTGCAGGTAACTCCTTATTATGTTGCATAATCTTTGCATTTGACATTGTTGCGTTCCTTTAAATTTACATTCAAACAATTCCTTTTGTATTCAATAGACTTCTAAAACAGCTGTAGAAGCATGAGAGTTTCCAGTTTGGGAGGTTTCACAGTGAAAATTGCTTTTTATAGTTACAGTTATTTTTAGGCCTTTGTCATGGTTACAAAATAATTACAAATATAATCCTTTTTGCAGGGATCAATCCTCATACTGGATATTAGATGATTATTTGATTTATACAATAAAAAAGAGGATTTAATCCCAGAAGAACTCAACAGTAGTGCCTATAGCTGTAACAGTAGTATAGGCAACACATAGTAAGTACTTGCCTGGCCCTTAATTCTGACCAATGCTAGGTCTGAAGAAATTTTTGCCACTCTGTTGCAGTTAATGTCTGCAGGACCTAAATGTTTTGTCACTGATCTTTCACTGCTTGGTTATCACCTTATCATTTATCATATGCAGCCACAAGGAGGCCATGGCTTATGGCTAGTCACCAGAAATACTTTTGATTTTCTACAAAATAAAGATTATTTGTTGGATTAGTTGTTTCCAGTGAAGACAGAAAACATGCAGATGTCTATACATAATCACGCATTTGTATAGTATACTTCTCCCCCCATTTTAGAAATTAGACAAAGAGAAACATAGTTGTTTAAATCTCTTACTTTTGGTCCTGGCAAGCCTTTTCCTGGGGGACCAGCGGGGCCAGCTGGTCCTCTACTACCAGGATCACCCTGAAAGCCAATACTTTAAGAAATAAGTAGTGAATACCAAAGTTTAATGTATCTCTAGAACTCCAAGCATCTGTTACACCAGATGACAAAGAGAAGAGAACTATTGAACTGTGCAAGTCCAAACAATGCTAACCCAGGGATATTGCTGGCAGGACAGTGAAGTTATTGGGGATAAACACTGGCTGGTGGTCTAAATGTATTCAAGTCAATTATGCACAGTTACACAGGAATTACAATTCCCATATTATAAAATGAACTCCAGATTCTCCAAACAAAAAAACCCACAAAAACTCCACAAACCTAAACCAAAAAGATCTACCTTTTATATACTGAGAAGAAAGTTAAAGCTGGATTAAATAGGAATTCTGACTATGATCTATAGGTAGGAATTGTATCTCTATGAAGTAGAGTATGCACAAGCATTTGCTTTTCTAGAACTTGAAGCCTGTACCTTAGGTCCTGGTAGTCCAACTCCATCTGGGCCTTGCTCACCGGGAATCCCAGGGAGGCCTGGCAAGCCCTGAAATTGTATGCACAGACAAAATATAAATTTAATTTACAGCTACATTGACTACATGCATTTGTTAATATTTTCATGGTAGTCTTTATATTGTCTCTTAATGGGATCACTGTGATCTGCAACTGGTTAAACTTTACTCTGATATGCCAGAAGTAGTGTCAGTAGCATTTACAGGTGTGTTGCATGTCATGCAGGGGCTTGAATGTGTTTAAAGGTAGAGGGGTCTAATATGGAGAGGCAGTTGCAGAAGCAGTTCTTCATTGGGTTGCACAAAAATAGCAGGAAGTATTATAAATCAATTTCCACGTTGATGTTTGTTAATTTTGGTTCCTCAGTGTGGCACTTTTGCTTGTGTTTAGCATAGGCAAATGCAAGTATGTGTGCTCCAAACTCCCTGCCTGTAGCCAGCAATATTTCTGAGCCTTCCTCACTGCACAGGCAGGAAACTGCCAGGGCTGGTGGAGCACGCTGAGAGCAGACTGGATGTGTGACCTCAGCATTGCACACATGTGCAGGGAAGGGAGAAGAAGGAGCCTTTTCTCTTTGCACCTCTTTGAAGGGATTGGTTATATCTACCAATAAAGGCCTCTGTAACCATTAGTTCTGGCTCTTTGCACACCAGTTGCTTTTTCAGTGGTTCTAGGATGTATATGGATCCAGCTGCTTAGCTAGATTGTATTTTCCTGTTTGGGAATAAATTTTGGATGGTTGGGCAGAGGACAGGACCCTGCAGGAAGATTTTGAGGGAACTGATTGAAACGTCAGTGATACTTTGGCAAAAAGAACCCGCCTGGAATATGTTACAGGGTGTATCAAGAGGACAGGGATGAAGATGTGCTGTTTCAGAGAGAGATTTCATTTTATTCTGTGTTGAAGTGCATTTCCACAGTTGAGGAGTTTTAGGCTTTTAGACCAGCAAATCTTTCCTAGCATGTCAGACATGTAGGATAACCCCTTAGGTGTAGCACTTATTACTTCCCAATTCACATAAAGGAAAAATCTGTAAACTTACAGGTGGGCCAGGATAACCATCTCCTTTTTGCCCAAAGGGCCCAGGGGGTCCTGGGAGGCCTTGGTCACCCTGATGAAGGCAGGAGAAACACCCGAGTGAATGCCAAGACAATTGCTAGCAGGAAATTATCCATGAAAGTCAAACTCACTTGGCAAATATAATTTGATTTTATCTGTCTATTGGCTAATGTATTTTACTATGTGAATTATTATTTTACATTTATTTAATCCTGGACTAAACCAGTGACATTTAATAGTGCTCATGATCTACACTCCTGAGTCACTAATTTTAATATTTTTCAAGACCTCTGCTGTCATTTGTGGCCTACTTATAAGAAGAAATTACTTTAGTTGTATTTCTCATATATTTATCATAATTTGTTCTAGAATTCTATTTTCCTGTAATGCTGTGGAACCTCGTTAAACCTTTGGAGTATAACAGGATCTTCCTATGGGAAATGTACAACTAAACTCCTTTCATGGATCCAGACAGCTGGAGTATCTCAGGAACAGATTTACCAAGAAAACTCAGAGGACCCTAACCCTCCCAGCCACACTGGGGGGTGCAGTGAGTTGCTCAGTTGCTATAGAATGGATGGTCAAGATTGCATTTGTTCCTGTAGCTACCCAAAATATGGGCATTTCAAACAGTGGCAAAAAAAGACCCATGCAAAAATAACTTAAAAAATTAGGTTGTAAAAAGCTTTACCCTTTATGGCTTTACTCTGTATGCTTGTGTGTCTAAGAACTAAACAAAAGCAGAACCACTAATGCTGACAAAGGCAGCAAGAAGTGAAGAATGTAGTCACAGAAACATGCAGTATTGCCCAATTGAAAGAGCTTTGGGGGGCTCAAGGTTGAGGGAGAGAGACTTGCAACTCTGAGCAAAGGATATGTTTCCAGTTGATTAATTCCTGTTAGATCCCCAGAAATGGGACAACATGAAGTTCTCTGAATTGACTGTTCTATACCAAAAAATTATGTGATTCCATCAGCATATTCTCTTCCTGATGAAAATAAATGTAAAAATCTTGAAAACCACTGACTGATCAAAAAGAAATAGAGATTGTCACATGTTTCTCATGCTTCAGTTACTCTGTTCAGTTCACTCAAAGAACAAGGGATTAGGGATGTATTCAAAAGTACTGTCAATCTCGCTAAGAAAAAAAGGTGGTGGAGGGGCAGGCAAGATCCAGTATATTTGGAGAAACACAGGTTCGTATGTCCTGAGTTTGTTGGTCTCCAGACAAAATCTTTGCTGAAATGAAGAGTGGCTTATGAAAGTTGAATCTAGGTACCACTGAGGCAGTGGTAGATGGAAGCCATTAGAGATTAGCTACATATTCATGATCTTCTTACACTAGAACCCCATCTTATAAATGTTATGAAGTTAACCCTGAAGTTATGAATGAAGCAAAGGAGCCTGGCTGAGAAAAATCAGCTGCTTGCTAATGAACATGTAGGCTCTTGTAAGCAGGGTTAATGGGGTGTTCTCTCTGAATCCACATCAGCTAGAAACAGTCATTCCTCTCCTGGTTCTCTGCCATCTGAAGGGTTACAGTTACAGACTCTGGAGGACTGACCATCCATGGTTTTCCAGCACTGCAAATCCTTCTACTCTACCAGAGTTGTAGGACACACACATTAACTGTGGGACATTTCAGTGGAACACTGTGGCCATCCTAGGAGGTTTGTTGCTGCTTCACTGAAATCCTCCTGCCTTATTTTACAGTTGTATCAGAAATCAGTTTAACAATTTAGGAGCTACCTTTGCCCCAGGAAGCCCAAAACCTGGTTCTCCAATGGGTCCAGGAAGACCAGGAAACCCAATGTCACCCTGCAATGAAGAAAATAAATCCTCTGCTTACATATCTTGTTAAACACCACAGGCTGTGGGTTTCTTTTATATAAATTCATATATAATGAACATAACAGCTAATTTTATTTATTGCTAATGCAAACATTAAAAACACCAAAAGCATAAATGAAAATGAAAGAGTAAATAGAAAAATACAAAGAATAAACTAAGGTGCTTTGATATCCAAAGTTATTCAAAATAAAGAAATGAACAAATGTAGGTCACACCTCAAGCTGCCACAAAATTAATACCAGGGCACAGTGGTAGCTAGACTGGATGCAATCCAGAGGAAGTTTTAGTTGACCTCATAAGGCTGGAATTGTTGACACAAATATTAACATAGCCTACTTCAGCTTTCACCCTGGGTTTCTAAGCACTAGGAGATGGAATGTGGATGGTACCTTTGGTCCAGGCACAGATCTTCCAGGAGGGCCTGGCATTCCAAGACGTCCTGGTGCACCAGGCTCTCCCTGCAGTGAAGGTAGGAGAGAAAAAACAGTGGATTTTTCTGAAAGTGAGCATGAAAATCACACAGAGAAAACATTTATGCAACAATTTACATTTAATTCCATTAAAATTTGATTAGAATTTCTAATAAGTATTCTATGCAGAGATCAATCTATCTATTTGGGGAACTGATAACTGTTTTCTCCATGGAAATTAGATTCTTCTCAGTCACTAAACAAACATGTTTGTAGAAGTCCCTTTCTTAGTGTATTCAAGGCTTGGTCCACCACATACAGTGCTCAAGACTCCCTGCCCAGCTGGGTAGGTATACTGAAAACATTTATACATTTTTGTTAGAGTAGATTTTTAAAAATGTATCTTCCAGTTTACTTTTTTGCCTCTTTTTCATTTTTGGGGAAATACTCTTGTGTGTATAAATAGCAAAAGAATAAGGAACTGGAGGATAAACCTGGAGTAGCTTTCATTAAGTATTGAGTATTTTAACAGAAACTCCAAGTCCATAAAAGAATGTCAGCCATGAGTCAGTGTAAGGGAAAATAAGGTCCTGTCATGTATTTATATGCCATACACCATACTATCGTCTCAAATATTTCAGTATAAAAATAACAGTATGTAGCTTTACATTTTCCAAGCCAACAGGGAAGCAATATGGGAAATGCAAAGGGTTTTAAAAAACACTGCCAGTTGTTGGTAGGGATCATGGGGATTCTTGCTAAGAGAAGCCTTTGCTGAACTTTTTTGAAATTATTTTTTTATAAAGCGAGTTCATTCTAGAGCAGTTGTTTCTGAGATCTGGAACAATGTACAGCTTTGGGAGAGTATTTTACACATATAACACAGTAATAAACTCACTTTAGCTCCAACAGGTCCAGGCATTCCTGTTGGTCCTGTTAATCCACGTATTCCTCTCTGTCCTTGATCTCCCTACAGAAATGGAAAAGACATGTCACACATGTCAAATAATTTAAGAATGTATTAACTGAATTCAATTGTAAATGTCAGTGAAAGATAGCAAACATCTATTTGTAGGTGGTGCACATGAGCTGTTCCTATTGCCTTCACTGGCAAGTCAGTTAATTCTGCTCAGGAATTGTCTCCAAAAGTGTTGGATTTGTACAATTAAAAAGGCATAGATTTCATCCAAAATTAAATACATCAGTTTACCACAGAATACTGTGAAGGAAATAAAAGCCAAAAGGAATCTTAAAGGTTGAATAATTGCAGCTTAAAAGCAAGTTAAGTAATTACCTTAAAAAGATAATAAGGAAAAGAATCAAAACAGGAAAATATAATCCAGCTGCTAGTACTTGGTTCTTTTTTTAATTTGAAGGCAAATAGGGCAAATCAATTAATCACAAAGAAAAGCTAAGAATATTGTAAAGTTCTGAAGGGAAAACTGCTGTTCAAGCAGATTACTGGGCTGTAATAATTACAACAAAAATGAAACAACTATGAGTCCAGAATAATATTTTTTGTTACTTATATTGGACAAAAAAAAGAGAAGTCTTTGCCAAAACTATTCCTGGAACATTCCAATTTTGAGTGACACCTTTAGTAAGAAATCCTCACCTTTTCCCCCTGTATTCCAATCCCTGGAGCACCTTCAGGACCTCTAAGACCAGGCAACCCTGGTTCACCCTTGAAGAGAAAAATCAAAGGAGTGTCTCAGAGCACTGCATGGACATGGTGCAAGACAAACTTGGCATTCCCTTGAATAAGTTCATGAAGACCATGGACCTTTCAGAGTCAGTGACAAAACTCCCACTGCTGTCAGGTGTGTCCAGGGGCTCTTTCCCATATTCAGAAGTGAGCACTGTACAGCTCCATGTGGAATGTGAGAAGTGGCACATTTCCTGAGAGACAGCTGAACACTGAGTATATAACCTTAAATTCTGAATCTATTAAAAAACACAGTCAGAAGCCCAATAAAGCTTGCCCATAGCCATTTTAGTGGTTTCCCTCCTGAGCTGCAGGACATTTAATGAATTCCACAAAGCACACAAGAGTAAACAAGATAAGGCAATGCCCCACCCCAAAACATTAGAAAAAGTGAAGTTTTTCCTAAAAAAGTATATTCAAAAGAGATTTTTTTTCTGAAAAAAAATGTGGTACTTTTCCCCTTGTCCATGAACACTCTCTCTTCTAGGTTTGGGTGTCAGCACAGGGAGAATGGCAATGCTTGGGGTGAAGCAGATGGACTGCAGAGAGAGATGAACCAACCTTTTGTCCAGGGGCTCCATCTTCTCCTGGAAGACCAGGCAGACCTGCCAGTCCTGAAGGCCCTGGATCACCCTGACATCAGTAAAAAGTAAGTTCTTCTATTAAATGCAGACTCAGTATTATTTCTTCTCTGAATTAAGGAAATCTATTTAATTTTTTTTAACTTTAAATATATTTGTAGAAAACATTTATGCATATGAAGTCTTTTTTTATGAAGACAGTTCTCATTACTTGGTTCTATCCTACTGTCTGATTGTTTTGAAGTGTGCATTTTATCTATGCAATTAAAATTATTAGCTGTTACTGATTCAGCTTCTTCTTAAAAAAGAATGCAATCATTTCATTAAGTGGCAGCATTTGAAGGAAATATCAGATATAACTGACTGTGGCACAATGACTGACATCTTGCTGATGAATATTAATGAAATCATTAATTGATGAAATCAATTAATGTCAGTGGAATTATCATGGCCCTATTGTGTAAGATTCAGGAGCCTGACCTGGTTTTAGATGAATTTGGGGTCAAATGGGTTCAATCAGCATTACTGTATTTTGTGAAATTAAAGAGAGACATTGAATAATTTTTTTTTTCCAGCCCCTGTCACAAATCCCTAACAAACAAGAGCAAAACCAGGATAGCCTTGTGCCTTTCCACTGTCACAAAAGTACTTTTTCATTGATTCCCCTATTCTATGTTAATCAGGCTGTTAATGCCATAGGGACTGGGTACTGTTTGGGCACTTCAGCACTAAGACAATCTGGTTACAGCTTCCTCTCCTCTTAGCAACTCAGCTGTTCTTTCTGTCCACCAGCACAGCTTGTGTCTTTTATGAAGGTGTGAGGATGTAGCTGCTCTGTTTCCACTGTATTCTGTGTGGAAAGGGAGGGAGCACAATAACCACTGTTCTGGGCTTTTTTTCACCTCTCTGCTACAGTGTAGCTTACACTTGGGGCTGTGAGTTCTGGCAGCTGTTTAATATTCTGGATGGTTTTCTGCGCAGAGCTGTAGGTGAGCTGTGTGCAATGATGACTTGAGCACGAGCCAGGCAGGTGGAAGTTTCCAGTCACCACAAATCTTACTATTTTTTACAGAACAGGGGTATTTAAAATGCTGCCATATCTGGAGGTCATTGAAACTCTCTGTTAAAAATTCAAAATACTAAGAATCTAAAGAATCTAAAAGTTATTTCTAAGCCTGTTTTTATGTGGCTTCAGAAAGCATACTCAGGAAATATAAATTTATAATCCAAATGAATAAATAGATTAAATAATTCCTCTGTTAACAATGTACCTTAGAACCAGGTTCTCCAATACCTCTTTCTCCTGGCACTCCAGTCTCTCCTGGCAAGCCTTGTTCACCCTTAAACAGATATTAGTTTTTAACAGCATTATTATGAAAACTATAAAAGCATATGGTTCATTGTGTAAATTTTAAGAAAGATTAGTGTAATCTTGTCTGTAGTAAGAAGTGTTAAACCCTTGGTCACAAAGATTGGCAATTTGCCTCATGTTTTGAGCTGTCACCAAGGAGCTGTTAGTGGAAATTATTAATGCTGTAAATCTACACTTGTATGTCCCTGGAATCTTTCCTGCCAAAGAGCTGATATTTCAGGAGCATATATGACATCCAAAGACAAATGGTTTTTTTACTTTTTAGTAGTGGTATTCATATCCCTGCACAGTCACTTAAAGTGTAAGAGGTGATACTTGATTCTGCAAAGTTCTTTACTTGTCACAGACACTTGACCCACTTACATCTCTAGTTCTTTTATACCATGCTTTAATAGCCTTAAGTCATTCAGAAATTTGTCACATCTTTCAGAAAATTACTTTAAATCTGCATTCCAAACACCTCTAGGGTGATGTCTTTCATTAACAGTTCTGTATTTTGTGAATCAGTTAAGGCTAAGTTATTCTGAGAGATTTTACTACTGAAAGACTACTGAAAAAGTAGTCTTCCTTGCACCATGGACCATTTTTAACATCTAGATATGTAGAAACAAATTCAGGTGAGACAATAGGTAGGAGAAGTTGCAAGGAAGGCAGTCAATCTCTAATGTATCTATGTATGTATTTATCTGGAATGGAAACAGTACAGTGAGAATAAAAGATGATATGGAAATTGGGAAATTGGGATGGTCCTCTCTTTTAAGGGCAGCTAGTTTTTGTAACAGGTTTACTGCACCTCCACGTGCCATGAAGAAACAACAAGCTGAAGGCAGACAACCCTCAGTGGAAGTGTATCAGGCAAAGTGCAGCTCACTGTCTGGTATGTGGTACCTGAAAGCTTCAGTGTGAGTCAAGCAAAAACCTAAATAAGTAGCCATGGCTTTAGTTTACCAAGGCTTTTCAGTGGAGTAGGATCTGCTGTGTGGTTTATAATATCAATAAAGAAAATATTTTCCTGCATCTATGTCAATACTTAGATTGGTTTTCAGCAATCCAGTTTAATGTAAATATTTACAGAGATAGACAATTTCTTGATCATGAAACATAATGATAAAAACAGCACAGTCACTTTTACTTCAGAAAATTCCCTGACCTTTGGTCCAGGTATCCCATGTCCTGGTAGCCCTCTAGAGCCAGGTGGTCCTTTTGGGCCCTCCACTCCCTGAGAAGAGTAGTTAAGTAATTATTAAAAAATAAAATAGTCTCTGTTATACACTGAAGTGTGGGGTGAGGGGACAATTGTACCTTTTCTCCTTGAATTCCAATTCCAGGTAATCCAACTGATCCTGGTAAACCAGGGGGGCCACACTCACCCTGGCAAGCAAAGTACAGTAGCTTAGTTGTGCAAAGATACAGAAACAATCTGGGACAACTCTCATGCTAGTCAGTACATGCTGGCTTCTTCTGAAGTCAGTAAAGCTGGGGATCTGACCTTTTATCTTTCACACAAGCATTTAGTCCCCACTGGTTCAGTTGCAAACAACCTCTAGTCTCTTTTCCCCTTTTTAAACCTTAACTTTCACACAGAATCAGATGCTTTTTCTAACATCTTCTATTTTGATATGAGGAGATATTAAAATGGGTTGGGAGAATTTATTGGGCATAAATCTCGACTAAATACCACATTATCCAGTGTCTTTTATGGGTTCCTTGCCTCATTGTACCTTCTGCAGTGAGTATCAACCCTGTATTCCCTGTATAGGATTTATTTGCACTCCATTAATCCCCTGGTGTATTTATTGCTCACCTTTTCACCTTTTATGCTGATGCCTGGAAGTCCGCGAGGGCCTTTAGGTCCATCAAAGCCACGGTCTCCCTACATGAAAAAATAATAAGTTATTAACTGTGGAGACACACAGCTGTTCTCTCTGAAGTAACTAGAGACAGTGTTTTCTCTGTCATAATGAAAACCAAAATGAAAAGAACCAGAAAGCTGCTCCTGGATCTGTGTTCCAGGATACCAAAGAGATTATCTTTTCAAAAGAGTTTGCCCTGCAATTTGAAATTGCTGAATTGCTGATGAAAGAGCTGAACAAGCTTCTTTTTTATTTTTCTGCCCACCTCAATTACTTAAGGTCCTGTTCTGCTTCCTCTCAAATCAATGGCAAAGCCACAGCTGATTTAAAAGCCTGCAGGGATGAGTATTGAGACTAACTAAAAACTGAATTCTGCTTATTTTTTTTTCATGGGTTAATCTCATTAAAGTGTGGGTTAATCTCATTGAAGTGGGGTAATTAGGCTCTGGCTCCCACTAAGCATTTGCCAGGATGAAGACAGGTAGACTGTATTGTTATAGAAGTTTATTTGTAAATGTCATTGTCTTTCTAAATGTTCATTTACAAAATAGTGGTCTTGGGGAAAGTGCCAGTTACTAAAAAAGCTACAAATATTGTGCTTTTCTGTACTTCTCTTAATAAAACATGTAGAGGCAGATGTCAGGTTGTTTAAATAGCAAAAAAATCACCCAAGACAATAAAATTACACCCCAGACAGATCTTTTCTATCCTTAGTAACCAATTCCATAATTTTAACTTTGACAGAAATTCCTTGTGAGGATTTGTATTTAAAATAACATTCTTTACTCCTGATGCTTTAGAACATCTGCCTTCATTATCCTTTTTAGTAAACTGTGAGCTTGTAGTAAAAAGACTTGAAGAAAACAACTGCAAATTTGCTTAGATTAACAAATCACCAGTTTAAAATGTGTTTAAAACCAAAGAACTGACATGCTTGGCAGCCATAGATTGGATTAGAGATACATATCGACTCTGTGCTTGGCTCCAGGTCAGACTTGGCAATAAAAAGTAGCACATTTTTTATAGAATGAAGAGTTCCAATAATGCTGACAGAATGTCTCTTTGATTATTTTATTCTGCCTATTCATCTCAACTGCTTAGTAGTTTTGGTTAGATTATGCATTCATCTGTGCTTGTTCCCACTGTGCCCTGTTGCTGTGTTTTAGTTACTAGTTGTAGTTTTTCTTCCCACATGAATTGGTATTTCAGTGGCAATTCAGTGATTTTGAAATGCATTTTCTTCAAATTGTATTTTTGTTAGTTTTCATTCATGAGATCTGCTGAGCAGATACAAGCCATCAACAAAGAGGTTAAATAATTTCTATAATTCATCATCATAAAATACACACTGGATGTTTGAAGATATTATGTTGCTAGCAGCAGTTAAATTTCAGCCTGGCTGACAACAGTATTGTGCCAAGCAGAAATCCTAAGATTTTTAGTGAAGGGCTACTCTCACAGAAAATCTGATTTTTAGTTGGGCTCTGCCTCTGTGAAACCAATTTTTTATTGTTTTCTCAAGCAGAATTGGTGTTTGCATAAAAATGAGAAAACTGTTTAGTTGCTCATTTAGTTCATGTATAATCTGTAACCAAAGGCCAGAGCAACAACTCAGCCTAGGAGCGGCTTTTCAGTGGGCAGCAAAGGAATCTTCTAGCAAGTCCATCCATGTAGTACAACTACCACTCTCATTACTGCCGCTGGATCTGCACATTAGTAGCAGCACCTTTCTTTTCCAACAAACTGAATTCAGTCTTCTGCTAAAATGCATACACAATGTCTGAGGTATGTAAGAAGCTTAGAAGCTGTCTTTATAGTGACAGTAAAGATCTCTATATAAGGATTAAGAAAAAAAACCAACAACAAAATGCTAAATTTTTCATCTAGGAACCTTTTAATGGTGCTTTATTTACAGTCAAATGCTTTAGGCTGTTTTAAAATTATGGAATTCATTCCAGACTTAGATCCCACAAATCAAGCATCAGGTAAATTAAATATTGGTTTTACAGGCCCCAAAGGCTAGCTATGCCTACAAGTCATGTTTGAACCAAGTGAATTTCATCAAAATATATTGGCTTGTTTGATGGAAAATCTTAATATTAATTTACAAGATACTTTCTCAGATTCCTGTGCGTTCTATGGACTTGTTTTGGCATGCACTCATTTAATGGTGCTGCTCTGGTCTTAAAACCCTTTGACTGTTTTACCTTTGCTCCTGGAAGCCCTTCTCCTGGTGAGCCTCTTTCTCCTTGAACACCTTGTGGTCCTTGAGGCCCCTGTTAACAGAAGTTTAAAATGACCTGGGATATGTATTAATCACTCAGATGAACAGTAGTGTATTCTATGTCACTGTCTGTTATAAGCAGGTCTTCAGACCTTGGTGTAGTTACAATCTGTTACAGTTAATGCAGTAACACAGCATTCCCAGTGAGTAAGTGATGAGCATTCTGGCCTGCAGCAGTAACAATACCCTTCATGTTCCTAAGGAATCACAAGTTATATAGATGAAATTTCTATTCCTTACATTTTGGAAACTTCACGCCCTAAATTTCCATTTTATAAATTCTTGCTAATCCTTATTAATGTATCAGTATAATCATGAGAGACCGAAGCTGATTAAAGCCCATGCAGAGTAATGCTGAAAGAAACAAAGCTGTAGAAAGTTTTGACTGTAATTGGCAGAGAGAGAAATGGCATGCACTTCCCTTTTTGAAAAAAGATCTGATAGAAGCACAAGGGGAAAATGACAAAAAAAATGCATGTCCAACACCTGTGCATATTAAGCCTGCTTCACTGTGTTTTCTTGCATCTGTTTTTAAAAGATTTTTACTCAGATTTATTGCCTGGGGTTACACATACATCACAGAATGCTGATAAATTTGTCTCTGCATAGCCTAAATATGCTTCTCCTTCTGCACAGAGCTTTAGAGTCATTCCTAAGGTATAGATATTTGGACTCAATTAAGCCATTAAAGTTAATTTCTTTTGAAGCAAAGAAACTTCAAAATAAATAAAAGAAGCATATTTAGAATATTTTTTTAAAAAAATCAGAATCTCTTGTTATAGCAATATTTTTTTGCCTAGGAAAGATTAACATCACAGGCACCTCTTCCCCCACAGAGTGGGTCTTGGCTCTGTGGTGTTACTGAAAGGACGGCAAATGTTACTGCCCTGCTTGGACTGACTGCCACCACCAGCCTTATTTGTAATGCTCTTCTCCTTGGCCTCTCCAGCAAGAACTCACTGCTCTCCAGTAGTGTATTTTCAAGCAGGTTTGAAATCAGTGAGTTCACCTACCAAATGATGAGTCTCTTTTTCATAGGAGCCCCTTTTATGAAATGTTTATTCCAAATTTTGCCTTGTCAATGGGAAAAAGGTACTTGTGAAAAAACTGAACAAAATTTCCCGTGTGGTTGCACTAGAAATCTTTCATCCAGGTGAAGAGAAATGAATTTAAGTCTGCTGTACTGTAAATAGCTCAGTAAAAGGTGCTGCCTGATATTTAGAGAAAAAGGACCATAAAATTGACATGCTGGTTTTCTGAATTACCACAAAGAGATGGATTTTACAATGGCCAGGAAGAGGAAGGGAAGGAAAAGCAGGAAGAGACTTCAGAGCCAAACCTACTGTACATTCTGAAAGTCTCTTCCTCAAAGCCTCGAAGCCATGCTGATGTCAATGTTCTAGTGATACTGAAAAGCAGTCAAATTCAAAGTTATCACATAGGGACTTCACACCATTAAATCTATCAGGAAACAGATTTATTTATATATTTGTGTGGTTTTGCACCAGATGTTATATTTTCATACCCGTTTTGGGGATTTGATAATTAGAAAAGTTAAGAAATTGGAAGCATTTCCAGTTTATTGAGGGAAACAACAGTCAGACAACATAATATGTATAAGAGTGAGAAATGGTAGAAGAAAGAAAAGAGATGGTATAACTTAGCACACATTTTCTTGTGTGCTAAATCTTCCCCATGTTTATGGGGAAGCATTGATAATTTTTGCTTTCTGTCCTGCTTTCCTCTTACCAAATTAAAAAACAGACATACCATGAATCCTGGTTCACCAACTCCAGGTGGGCCAACAGGGCCTGGTCTTCCTGTCAAACCAATGTCACCCTTCAAAAAAAGATGTACTTTGAATATGTCTGATTTAGGAATTTTTATGTGTGCAGCATATAACAACTCATCAGCCATTCTGTGCTGGAAATATTGGATGTAGGAGATTACAGGAACAGCAGAGGAAACCTGAGTGTCCTCAGAGTCATACACCATATGAGGCCCAGCAGGCTTTGAACTGGGGCAGTGTCACAGCTTTAGGGGAGAGGTCAGTTCTGCATTTGACAGAAGAAAATGTTGAGTCTAAAAAGTCTAAAAGATTCATTATTCCCTTCATGCACACAGTCGTGTATCGCTTACTGTCCCTTCCCAAGAAGTCAGTATTATATCTTCTATCTTGCAGTTTCTGTTCTTTTTTTGCCAGTCATCTAAACCAACAAGCCTGTTTTGCACAGATTAATTTCTGTTTAAGACTATGAATTTGTTTTTACCTAATCATACTCTTCTTGGTAGTTTATGTCAAGCATAACGACTACTGTAAAAAAATCCTTTAAAGTATATACTTAAAATGTACTTTTTGTTTGCAACTGTTTGTAAACAGTTCTGATAACATACAAAATACCTTTCCAGTACCACAAAACCACATTTATGGTCTTGAAGTTTCTTGTGAATCAGCAAGTCTATTAGCTCAGCTGTCTTGATCCTTATCCTACAATACATGCTATACAGAATATGAGATTTTTGTACCTTTGGGCCTGGCAGTCCTACTCCAGTTTCTCCAGGCAAGCCAGGTGGCCCAGGGAGACCTCTTTCACCCTTTTAAAGAATGAAAAGAAAACAACTTTGCTTATAAATTGGTGTTGAGGAAAATCAGTTTAACTCACATTGTAGATTAATTTTTAGTGCATCCTGAATTTCAGCCCATTGGAATTGTCTTCCACAGTATTTTATCTGTTCATCCTTTCAGAGCTTCCAAATTCCCTTGTAATAATTCATCTTGTACAAAGATGAGACTAAACAAAAGGAAAAATGTTTCATAAAATGTAAGTCTTGACACTCAGCTGTTCTGTGTATCACTGTTGGCCAGCTGGTGCAAAGAAGATATCAAGAGAGATAACAAATAATGTCCCTTGTATGCTTATTTTCAAGTTTTTCTTCAGGACAATATTCCTTTTGAACTACAGAATTCTTCTTGAGAATGTTCAGTCTCAAAAAAAGGCTTGATTTGAGATGCCAAACAGAATTCCTGTTTGGCACTTCAGGATAAAAGTTTTAAATTGAAAACTGAGGAAGTTCAATGCTAAGTAGTATTCTCTGACTCTAGCATATTTTAAGTGTTGATTAATAAAGATGGGAGTTGGATTTGGACCTGAATTCAATACAAAGAGCAAAGTAATAAATACCTTTGTTAAGAACCTTGTAGAATACAAAAAGTACACAATTTGCTATCTGTGTCAAGTTAAACTGCATCCACTCTAAGAAGGGTATAGAATATAAGGATAAAATCATAATTGTTGTGAGGCTATATTGATACCTTTTAACATTAATTAAGAGAAATACAGCAGTTCTTGCCTTTGATCCTTGCAGACCTTCAGGCCCTTGATCTCCAGATTGTCCTGGCAGACCCTGTTGAAACAGGAGTGGTTTCAATGAGATTTTTCAAGCTTTCATAAAAAATCACAGCTTGAAAAAAATTTATTATTTGCTGAAGTCTGCATGAAAAGAAGAGTTTTAAACACAGCAGAACTGAGGCTTTGTTTTGTGATGCATGTACATTTTTAGTTACTCAATCCAGTGGGAACTGGTTCTGGTATTTGGGGAGAGAAATTGGCTCTCCCTTTTTTTGAGTACAATTAAAGGTAATGTACAGTCAAGATGTACTGAAATATCTATGATGGGCTAAGCTTCTTGGCCATTAGTATGAGAGAACTGGGATGACAAGAGACTAAATATTCTTCATGTACTTCTTGAGGAAATGAAATAGTTAAGACACTGAAAGAGAAATGAGTGTTTTTGGTTTTTATGGAAATGTATTTGCTGTGGTCTTTGAGACTGGATGAATTGTAAGGATGATTTATTTGTCTAGATTGCTTCTCCAAATTCTTATTAATTTTGCTATATAAGAAGATAGATTTTGGGTGCCTTGAACTCAGCAACTCTAAGATTCCATGTCAGTAGGGTTATGATATTATTTCAGATCATTGAATCCCAGGGAACCAGGTATTGTTGTTTTCATAGCTAGTTTTTCTTTTTTTTTCTTTTACCTGTATCCCTCTTACTCCTCTGGGGCCTACTGGACCTTCAGGGCCCTGAAAGATAAGTGAAAAAAATTATATATTTCTGTATTTTTAGATTTTGTCAAAACCACTTTTAAGGTAACTTTTTACTAAGGTATCTTGTTTAGGTATCTTTACATTAAAATCAAAACTAAATGTAAGAGAAGCTCAGCAGCCACAAAATATTAAATAATTTTTTTAAATTGACTGGTAATCAAGATACAGCATGACCAGTAATTCAGGATTAAACTTGATTTGCTCTATTTGAAATATTTAAAGCAATTATGCACTAAATCTTAAAGACTGGAGTAAGAAACCTTGTTTTCATTGTTATGTCTCATTACCTTTGCATACTATTTCAAGCCTTCTGCCTCTGTTAAAGTAGAGATTTGCCATTGTTTTAAAAAGGCTCAGCCTTGGACCCTAAGAGGAATCATATGAAAATGTAGAAAGAGCTCAGAAAGTTAGTAAAAATGGTGTCCTTGCTCACTACGTATTTTAAACCTGTCAGATGTCAATTTCCCTCAGCCTTAGAACTAATATATACCTTAAATCTATCATCATGGTTGCTATTCAGGGAATTCTAATTTTTTTGGTGGTTTAACTGTATTTCTTGGAAACATAACAACTTTGTGGCTACTTACTCTTTCTCCTTTTATTCCTGGGATTCCACATTCACCTCTTTCACCCTGGAAAGGAATAGGAATAAATACTTATGAGTTTCATTGGCATATCATCCTTATTCTCCAGGTGCTTTAGTTGAAAACCTAAATGTTATTCTATTCAGGACATCATATAGCAATTGTGCTGCAAGTTCACTGAGGAACAGTTACATCTTCTATTACAGCTTGTGGAGCAGCTGCTAAAATGATGTTATTGTTCCTTACTAGTATTTAAATGAAATACAGCACTATATATAATAAATAACCACAAAGATGCAGGCATCAATTCTGACTAAAAGACATACCTTCTCTCCTTTATATCCAGATTTCCCCTGGGAAAACAAAAAAGCAAAGCAGGTTGTGACGGTACATAACCCAAAAGTAGGAACATGAGTATTGGCTTCCTTAATATTCTACTCTCTTCAGAAAAATAGCATTTCAAATAGAAAAGATGACTCTGATTAATATGGCAATATGATTCGAAGTACTGTGCCTTTTAGTCATGGCAGATGCTGTTGTATGGGTAAATAAATTGTATGAATGTATCATTTTAGACTGGGATTCTGGCGATGTAAAAGCAGATCAAGTAGAGTTGGTATTTCCATCTTAGTGAAAAACATGCAAAAATAAGAAAACAAGAAAAAGATACTAATTAAAGAGGATGTACTGAATAAATAAGAAAGCATAAAGTAGAGGGATTCATATATAAATGCATTCAGAATTATGCACTAAGAGACTTGTCCTGCACTTACTTCCTATATGTATTTAATTCAAATTTTTTACTGCTGTTATACACGGGGTCCTTTATTAGTCAAATTTAAATAAACTCAGAATAATGCAGGCATGTATAAATTTCTGTAATGTTCTTATCACGTCAGAGCATTTCAATGTTTTGGAGGCACTATGCATTATTGGAGAGTATTTTCTAGATTACACATATATGAAAGAATGATTCCTTTTCATTAAGCAATGGGAATGTTTTCAGTTCTTCTTATGTTAATTAATTAGATGGTAAACCAGAATTGGAATTTGCTCTTATAACAATAAAAAAAAAGGTGGTATTTTGCCTTAAAGGAACACTGCTCACTGGAGAAGAAGGGGGAAAAAAGGATTTTTTTACCTCTATTCCATCTCGTCCTGGGATTCCATTAAGACCTGGGTCCCCCTATGAATAATTCAACATCAAGATGAGCGAAATAAGGACAAGACAGATCTTTCTCCTAAATGTGAAAAACCAATCACCTTTGCTCCTTTCAGGCCTGGAGCTCCATCGTCCCCAGTGCGACCCTTTTTACCCTGAAACAAACAAAATACAATTCTTATGATATATGTTAGTAAACATAATTTTGTTTTACAATATATATGCTGTTTTTCTCAAACTTAAGATATTTGCCTTCTATAGATTTATTTCTAAAAATCTTTGAATTTTAATATAATTGAAATTGTATATCTGGGAACAGCCGGACCAACTCAATAGGCAGTCATGTTTCTGTTTTGTTTTTGTTATAAACAAAACTAGTTTGTTCACTTCTTCTCTGAAGAAAAGAGGTGATCAGCTCTTTTCTTTTGTGACTACCCAGCTTGTTAAGTGGATGTTTTTGTTTTCTTCTCAACTCTTTGGGGTGTATGCTTCTGTGTAAGCAATACCTTCACTTTCCAAGTAAAGACAAGATATTGACCCAAACAAAACTACTGTTTGCACACAGTAGAGGGTACATTTTGTATTAAAGTGCATTGTACTGTGCTGCATAAACCCAGGTGTCTTTCTGTTTGTGTATGTGTAGGATATTCAGGTCAAAAGGATGAGGATGGGCCAATTTAGGGTTCTCTTTCAAACTCTGAGACAGTCCCTTCACCTTGAGCAAGGGCTGAAAGGTACTATAGTGCTCTTAGTTCAATGTCAGGGATATAATAGCAGATCATTCAGTTGTTTTTGAAATGCAAGCCCTGCAGTTTAGATCACCAAGCCTTGTATGAAGCAACCCCCTAGACTATTCTGAAAGAAGTCCAGTCCACTTTATTCTTGTGTCAGTTGTTCCTGATGCTTCAGTATTTTGCTCTCTCTCTTGTTTTCAAAGAGCTTTTTGGATGTTAATGTTTGATTTGAGGTTAGTTAGATCCAGCTGGTCTTGTGTGATTACAACAGGAAGTGTGTTCTTTTCTGCCTTACATACTGCTGTGGCTCACAGGAGAGCCTCACCACACATCACTGCTCATCCTCCTGTCTGTCCCCACACCGAGGGAGTGTCTCATGGCAGTCTCAGGACTCTCTGTGCACTTCCTGCTGCTGGAACATCTTCATGGAGGAATGTGGATTGACCCTGGAACTTCTGTGGTCTCAGGATTTGGGTTCAAACAATTTCTTTTAAAATTTTTAACAGTGAATAACATTTTAACTTATACTGTAGATCAGTTATTTGAGTGACAGCTACTTACAGCAGGACCAGGAAGGCCTCTTTCCCCCTTCTCACAGTTACATGTGTCAACCTGGGGACACTTTGGATGAAAATAGTACAAATCAGCACATTTTACTGGAAGAGATAGAAAACACACAGACATTTGCATTAAGTTACTGTATGGCTAGTTTAAATTTTACACCTGGAATGACCAGAAATTGTATTTACCTGTTTTACAGAAATCTTTTAACTATCAGTATACTCATCCAGAATGTGACCTCCTATACTCCATCCAAAATTGTGTATCATTCCTACTCCTAAAATTTCAGTCATCTTGATAATGGCTTTACCTCCAAACTCTTCATAAGGTCAGTTTATGGGTATGCTGTGTCTGTTTTGTTTTCATTACTAGGCACAGTAGAGATAGCCAAGAAGATGGAGTAAAAAAGCATCTTACATCCCTTTACTTAATCCCATTGTGTGCAGGATAGTTTATAGTTTAGCTCTAGCTAGATCTATAAACAAAATATGAATGAATATATACTTTTGGTTAATGCAATTAATTATAATTCTTAATAATCCTTCTTTCTCTTCTGTCATCTCTGCCATCAGGTGTCGCAGTGAAACCTCATTATGGTATCTATTTATGGGATTTTCAAGATCTTTTTGAATCTTTAAGATCATGACAGAGTTATCACAGATGCTGGAGTTATTTTTGAAGGAAGGATAAGGAATGTAATTTTAATTTTTTGTTTAGTTATTAATTAAATCTCTGCTCATCTTGAAGATATCTAGAACTGAAGGGTTCAAAAATCATTCTTATCTGAATATCCAAATTAGTCACAATATGTTTTCCAAAGCTAACATTGACTGTCTAACTACTTCTATATTGATGGAGAAAAATCAACGAGTCAGTGAAAATGAGTAAAAAATTAAATGTTTCAAAGTTTTGTGAACACTCATACTATTTAGCAGTTTGCTTGAGCTGCTTAGGAGAACATTTTTTGTCTGATAACTGTGCCTTAAATATCCTTAACATCTTTAAAAGGAAAACTAACTTTATTCCCCACAAAATGCCAGCCAGACCTATCAATGCCTGCAGTCAGGGTGACACAGCATGGACAAACTGGAAGAAGGCAATGGTGGAGCTTTGAGATCTTACCCTTTTCAAACCCTCTCACATGGGAAGAGGGTTAAGGGTTAGAACTGCCCTGTCTTCAGCTCTGCATCATGTTTTATTTTTCACTGAGTCTGTCAGAGGACATGTCAAGATGTATCAGCAAATTTTTGCTAGCCTGAATACTCACATATTGTATCTTTTTTTTTTTGAATATACTTTAGGTTAGCAAATTACATTAGTAGTTAGGAAATTAATAAATTATTAATTACTAAATACATTAGTAAATTACCTTAGGATAACAAAGTAAAACTCTGGCCTGCAAATTCAAAAACATGTTTAACTTGAAGACAATTCCATTAGACTCAGCGTTAAACCAGCTTCATGAGCTATCAGTTTTCCTGAATTATGTTTCCATATAATTGTAAATATATATATATTAAGCAGTAAGTCCACACAGGAAAAGAAAAACCAAAAACTTAAAAGATTTACCTCCTCCTCAGACAGGTCTTTCTGTAAAGACAGATATTGAAAACAGCATTAGAAACTTGAAGTCTTAATCCAACTCTACAGAAAAGACACTGCAAGATGTGAAAATAAATAGTTTCACCAACTAGCTAATTAAATTATACAATTAATATATTGACTAACATTAATTAAACTTTAATTTCTAAGAAATATTCTAGCAATCTCTCCACTCAAAAAAAAAATAATCTAAATATTTTCAATTGTTTTTATAGGTTGTTGACTGAAATCATTGACTCTCCATATTCAGCCATAATTTTCTAAAATTACAATAGTAAACAGATTAGCTAGATATATGGGAACAATGCATCCACAAACTGCATTGTTTACAAACTGCTGAATAGCAGCAGCTCTTTAGTAGGAGTGAAGGATGAATGTTCTACACTTGGAAAATCAGAACCTCTTGTATTCATATTGTTAAGCACACACAAAAGGAGAGCAGAAAGTACACCCTAGAAAAGATTAGCTTTGCTGATGATCACATAAAGTTATCATCATCAATTTAACTGTTATTTTTGAGGAGATCTGTAGAGCTGAGACACCCACATGCAATGAAATCCTCCCATTTTCCACAACTACTGCAGTCTCTTGAGAGGACATAAATGTGTTGATGAGCAGCAATGCAATACAGATCTCTACAATTCTCATGCATGCAGGTATAGTTATGACAAAGCCATTATTTAAACCAAACAGCAGCCATGCTATTGAAAGAAGGCACCTGAGGATGACTGCCTGTTTAGAAGAGGTAAAATAAAGAGATGTTTTGTTCCTTGAGAGGTGCTTACTGTGACACAGGAAAAAGGGACAGTACCAGAGAAGATGGGAAGTGCGCTCTTCAGGGAACCAATGCAAACGAAGTGAAGGACAGGGAGACAGGAAAGCCAACACAGGTGCAATTTCAAGGCTTGTGTGGGATCACTTTGGAATCAATTTCATTGCAGAAGTCTCCTGATTGTTATTCATAATTCTAGTTTAAATCTCTGTGCATGCTCAGATAAGGACTCCATCACAGCTTGTGTCACCAGGGTTATAGGCTAGAATATGGCTATATTCTCTATACTTGGCAGGGAATACTTTTTATATATAAAGTTTAAATGGAGAAGAAAAACATCCAAACAAAGCTTCAAGCTCAATTTACATATTTCCTCTTGATTATGTGGTAGATTTTCCATGGAAATTTAAAGATGTCTATCACAAAGCTCAAATTTTGTCTAAATTGAGCTATCTCCATGGTCTGCAAATTTATTTTCACTTCTACAAGAGCTGTATCTTTTTCTGATACAAAAGGCAGCTTCACTTTCCTACTTGCTACAGACTAAAGCACTAGGATGTAAAAAAAAAGGGTTTTTTAAGACAAGAGATTTGAAATACCTTTCTTAGGAGGAAAAACAAAGATAAAAATAATGTTTAAATCTAATTCAGTTTGCAGTGTCAAATCTTTTGAATGAGAAGATCTGAATGGTGGGAAGAGAAAGAAAACCTTTATTTTGGTACAGTGATCTCATTAATAATTGGGCTACTTTAAAATGTAAAATGTACAAGTTTCTTCAATGGTATATTGAAGAAATGTATTTTCAAAACATTGGATATAAGATTTACATATGTTCCTAACACTATTTCAAATTCTTTCTCATACATACCATTTCTTTGAGAACCTTCTCCACAGTTCCTTTCTCCTGGAGGTTGAAAACGAACCGGGATGCTGGGACACTGGCCAGGAGCCGGAGCTTGGCAGCATTGCTGACCTCCTCAGCCACTCTGGTAATTCCCATTGTGAAAAATACAATTCCTTGGTGTTTAGCATCAGCTGCAGCTGCAAAAATGTCTGGGTTTCTTGGATGATCCACTCCATCAGTGAAAAGCACGGCTACTTTGACACTACCCACAGTCCCTTCAGACATGTAGAGCTGGGTGAGATTCGTTATAGCATAAGTTGTGTAGGTGCCATGGCCTATGTGGGTGATGGGAGCAATGTGGGATTTGAATGCTTCAGGACCTTTCCAGTCATGGAAAGTTTGCTCTATGAAAACAGTGCTGCTGTACTGAAGTAAGGCCATCCTCCAGCGCAGGGTACGTCCAGAACTAAGCTGCAGACTTTTCATTCTGTCTACTGTTTGCAGTACAAATCTTTTCTGTTGCTCATGATTGTAGTCCTTAGCACTTTCGGAGCTGTCCAGTAAAAAGGCAATTTCCAGAATGCAATCTTCATCTAGAATAAGTAGGTATGTAGGTGAGTGGAGTGACTTCATACTAAATCTCATTCTACCTTTACATGCATTTTAGGATTGAAGAATGGCATTGGAATTGTGGAAACTTTTGATGACATCTGTGTTCACAAGTGTGAGCCCTTCATGAAGATAGAGCTGATAGAGGCTGAGGGATTTGCTCCAAAACAGATGTCCCAAAGAATAAAAACCTGAAGGTGTGTTGATATAGTATGAAATGAGAAATGTTGTAGTGGTTTTGAAATTTCATTCTGTCACCTTGCCTGGTATTTCACTGTACCCTACCAACATAGCTGGAAGTCATGTATAAGAAGATGAGGCTTACTGAACAAGACACTAGAATGTGATTTGACAGAGCTGGATTTTGAGTGAGTGAATGTTAGTACTGTCCCTAGTACTAACACTTGCATCCAGTGACAAAAATTTCTAAAAGCAGGATCTGTAGAGTATTAATTTTCTGAACTACTGATGACATCAATTCTATGAAAATAGTTATATGGGCTATTATTCTTATGACAGTAAGAGGCTCTCAGCCACATCATAACAAAATACAGATGCTATCTCCTTTTCTGAAATACACAAAAAGGGAGGGAAAAGACGGGAGTTAAAAGATGTGAGTAAAAAGATAAAAGTGCAAAGGTTAGGTATGTGCAAATGTAGAATGAGGCAAACCTGACTGATTATAAGCATCTAGAAGGCAATTTAACCATATAGTCCAGAATCCAAATAAATCAGGATGTTTAAAATCACACCTGTTTTAAAATTACAATATTCACCTTGATCACTTGAGCTGGGATATTTTTCTACAATATTTGACAGAATGTATTTAGGTTTTGATCTTCTCAATCCATATATCTTCTCTTCCCTGAGATTTTCTGCTAAAAACTCATGATGTTCAAGTATCCACAAAAGCCACCAGAATCTGAGGAACATCATTGGTTTGTTTCCTAAACAACACAAATACAGAAGCACAGCAGTACAAGGATGATAAAACATGATTCAACAATTTTGCTTCAACAGGTTGCTTAGCAGTCTTGTATTTTAAACTTTCATCCCTAAAAACAAGGTGATTTTGCTTTCTTTGGGTAAAATCTTTTCAAAATCACACTATAAATAATAAATGGAGACATACTGGAATTTTTTCAAGCATTGTACATATCATTCTAGCACATACATCTCTCTACACTGGAGACAGACTTTTACAAACACACTTCAGTTCTCTCTCATTGCCTGGTATTGTTTTTACCATCCATGGCTGTACCCATGTGGATGCACTGTGAGCCCCAAGTGTAATTCACAGAGGTGTTTTTTTCTAAACCAGCTTTTTCCCTGGCTGATATGGGGAGAAGGCAAACCTGAGTTTTTCCCTGCTATCTTACTTAAGAACTGATGGCTGTGCACATTTCTCCCTGCTATCCCAGTCCCCTGGCCTAAACAGTCCTATGGAGAACAGTCATGGCCTGAGGGTGCTGTCAAGGCATGAATGAACCTGCTGTGCAATCCTGGGGACCTGGGCATGTCCTGGCCTCACATGCACACCCAGAGTAGCTCACAGGCTGCTCAGGGTCTGATAAATCATTCCTGCTGCACTTTGGTTTCATTGCCATCTCCCTGCAAACTCTCCCCAGGTAGCTACAGTGCATACCAAAAGGGCAGTTTGATGGCAAGAATCAACCTTCCAGGATTGAGCAAAAGTCACCTGACTCATAAAATTCCCTAACAGAGCCTTGACTGCAGCGTTTCTTGGCTCCTGATAGTTTAGGGGGGGAATTGCTGTGCCCACAGATACGGGCAGAGAGGGCAGGGGGTCCTTACCTCAATGCTCCAAAGCCAAAGGCTGTGCAGGGATGCAGGATGCTGCTCGGGCCTCGCTGGCAGCTGCTTTGCCCTCCCTGTGATGGGTGCTCTGTGAGGAAAGGAGGGAGAAGCCGGGCTGCAAGCTCGTGTGAGAATCGGTGTCATCTGTCAGGAGGGGCCAGCAGAAAGGAGTAAGGCAGAGAACAGCAATCCTGGCCCCCCCTCCTCCGCAGCCACCCGCTCCTCTCCTGCCCCCGAGGCTATCCATATACATTCTAGTTCAGCCCCCACAGCCTTTTACATGAAAATGCTCATCCGTAACTGGGACATGAATGAAAGAGGGCTGTTCTTACCCCAGCACGCTTCCCTACACACCAGCCCAGTGCTGTTCACTCTCTTCTCCCATCACTACTATCCACACTTTACCCTCATACTTTTGCACATCTCTCATGCTTGACTAGGCAGCTTTTTGTAATGGGCATCATGTTGTCAACATCATCTTAGCACCTGATGGCTGTAGGATCCCTTTCAAACCTAAAAGGATCTCCTCATAATGAGCTGTTACTGGTAACTACTGAACTATAAAGATATTTACTGTCCCATGAACTTGGCCAACTGAAATTTCAGTTCCTGGTGAAACTCTGCAGCATGAGGTGGTCAAAAAAGGCAGGCCAATCTGAAAGCCAATTTCAGTTTCTGGAGATTTGTCTTTGTCCCATATCTCCTTTTAAAGACTGTAATAATAGGGAACAATGACTGACACATAGTATGATGCCTTCAAAATCTAAGCTGAGTAGCTAAGGATCCTGAAGGCTATCTCTTTTACCAGCGATTGCAGCTTGTCACCTAATTCTTCAAAGATCCTCAGAAAACTTTGCATTCCAAATTAACATATTAAACAAGTGGCTTTTTTCACAGAAATACCTTTTTTTCTTTTACTGTGGCCTCATCATTTTCCACCAACAGGCACACAAAGAGGACCCAATGCTAACTGCTGTCCTCCTTTCCATCTTCAGTGTCCAGCCAACTCAGCCCACTTATCACAGGCACAGCCAAGGCAGCTCAGGAGATTGTGGGGAAAGAATGCAGCTTTGGCTCCAGTTCAGATACATGAGAGCCACTGGCAGGACAATGCAGCTGGATGTTGAAGCCATTTGCCATGGTTCTGACCCCATCATCTGTTTTCTGTATTTGCCAGCAATTAGTCCAAAACTGGTGAACTAGGATGGCTGAATGCAACTCTACATATTATATGGCTGCTTATCCTTACCTAAGCTGAAACGAACTCAGCTACAGCTATTTGTGCCACAATTACAGGTAAGAAAGAATCTTCTTTCAGGGCTGGAAAGAACTGATGTTTATTTCTCCCCAGCCACTTTGATTTTTCTGTGCTTAGACTGTCATAATCAGATTTTGATTAAGGCAAGGAATGAAAAGGCAATATCTTCCCATTTAGGAACACAAATTATATGGTGTTTAACTGAAATAGGTATAATAAATCTCCCCTAGCCCCTAAATCTTACTGAGAAAAAGTTCTAATTTTAGTAAGAAAAAGCATGTTATTTATGGTTGGGATTATATGCTTCCCATAAGCAAAACATTGAACTACTTTCATTTCCACTGCTAATTCCTACCTCAAAACATAGCTGGCAAATGTTTTTTTAATTAAATAACTATTCTGCTTGCATGTTTAGTAGCAAGTTTGTGGCTTCAGGCTATTTCCTTTTATTGGTGAATAATGTTTACCTTCAGGACAAATTTTTATCTTTTTATCTTGGCCAGGTGCTAGTTTAAAAGTTTAGTGAGGCCTCCACGTTTTTATGCCTGTTTGCTGGTATTATTCTGTCCAAAATTCCAGCCATGTGACATAACACAGTACACTTCTAGACTTGCAGTCTTCTGAACTCGGGAAGTTCTCAATACCTGCACTATTCTTACAGTGACAGCTTATCAAAACCTGAATGATACCAATGTAAAATATGTATGCCCTGATACATCTGAAATAACTCTTAAAACTAAAACTTAACAGCAAGACTTGCCTCATGTACCACAAACTTTATGAAGTGCTTATTTAATATTTTAATGGCATTATTCTGTGCATATTTTTAAAATAAAATAAATGCCTTAAAACCTATGCCAAGGAACATTCATGCTGTCATTTAAGTGCTATAAATTTATTGCTGAATTTTATTTTTTTTTTTTGTAAAGGAATAAAAACGTGTTGTATTTTTTCTTGAGGAATCGAGACATTGGATGCTTCTGCACACAATTAATTGCATTTCCATTCCACTCATATTTAAACATTTTAAAGTATCTTTTACATGTCTGGGAGGTGCCACTACAGACTCCTGTACTTAGTTGACTAAGTTGGACCCAGATATTTTACCTCATATATGCTTCCTACATTAAGACTGATAATCTTTGCAGGAGTCAAAGACTGACATGAATATAAGGCTATATTATGGTTGCACCAACTGAAACTGAGATCACAGATATAGCTGCATATTCAGATCTTCAGATCTCTGAATTTTTTCCATCACTGTTTGAAATCCAAGAGTCCTCAGCTGTCTGATCCCAGTATTTCAAATCTTTGAAATTAGGTCTAACACTTTTTTTCAAGGAATAGAGGGGTATATGAGAGCTATTTAAAATCACATCTAAATAGGTTATATTCAATCAAAAGGAATTTCTTATCATTTTAGAACCATGAGAAAAGGCATCATGAAGAAAGATCTGCAAGATATTTTTGCAAGTGAGAGTGTTTAAGCACTTTTAGGAAAGGAGAAAAAAAAAGGTGATATTTATACCCCTTTGTTGCTGGCATTACCATTGCATAGGTGATGACAGCTTCAGAGCTCCCTGAGGTTGCAAGGGCACTTTGAAGGGACACTGAATGAAGAACTGGGGCTTAAATGCCCCTTGCTGTGGTGTAGCATGACCTTCTGGGTCAGCAGCAGCCCTCACTATTGCTTCCTAATGGGCAGAAGAAGCAGAAAGCCTGACAGTTCCAAACTTCTTCCCCAGAGCTCTCTTCTTTGTCTGCCCCTCCCATCTGTCTGTGGGTACCTCCTTTACACAGACTCTTGATCCTGGTGTGGCTCAATTGTGACTCCTTCATCCACTGTTTAACAAAATTCAATACATTATTGAGAAGCCTAGAGTAATTTCTCATAAAATAGAGTAACTAGTGTCTTCTAGCATGATATCATGCCACTAGAATGTGAGAGGGTCCTGACTAGCCCTTCAGCTGTCCCTACAAGCCTGCAGCACCACTGGATATGGAGTAATGATGAGCCAGCATAGCTGGCAAAATACCACCTGAATATTTCCACATGCCAAAGGAATGCTGAACCACCAGGGAGGCCAGTTTGTGGGAGCAGCATGAGGCAGACAGACCATGCCTTTGATTTTCCTCTGCTCTGATGGTAATTTTTTTTTCCCAAAGAGTTTGACATGATGTACCTGAAATATTTTTTCACTTTTTTGCTACTTCAGTGTGAATAATTCACATATCAAGTCTGCTGTCAACTGTTAAAAATACACACACTTCACACAAACTTTTCTGGGGTTTCATGGCCTCAGGATAGTCTTGACCATTTAACCTGACTGCATCATGGTGCAATGGTATTTCAAGAGTATTTATTTCATTATATTATACCTGTCAGTACATGACCGAAGTGTCCAGAAGAAACAAAAACCTACCTGACTTGAACTTGTAAAATAATGAAAGCACATCAGTTACAACATTTTATATCCTGATACAAAAGAGGAATGTTATAAAGAACGTGGCTCACAGTCCTGTAAGTTGTATCACATAGGCAAATTTGGGGAAAAATAGTTTGAAACTTCAAATATTTGAAGTAATTGAACAAGAAAATTTTAAAAAATTAGAACTTTACATAGGATTATATGTCAAGAAAGATAAAAACCTTTGTTTCACCTTTTGACTACAAAATGTGTTCTAGTGAATTTGACAGCCCAGGATTCAACTGAGCAGTCAGTTGATCATGGTTAAGTCTTGACAAATTGACTTCTGTTTGACAACTCTTGAGGCTACAGTTTAAATTTTTTTAAATATGGACTTACATTCTGCAAATGCCAAGGATTTGTCAAAGCAAATCAGCTGTTTTCCTCTG